TAATAAGAAATCTAGAAGTAAGGTTGCAATCGCAGTAGCAGCTGCAATATCCATGCTACTCTCAATCCACCATTTTTTTTTGTGAGGGGATTGTAACATTTGGTTCATTGCTGATTCTTCTTTGAGCTATTTTCTGGGCAATTTTTGAGAGTGGTGGTTTGCCATTGCCTTCCACTCCTTTGAAGGGTGAGGAGACAGGTCCCTGGTCTACCTCAGCCAGAACAGGAATTGAATTTGTCCTGTTCATGTTGGTCTGAACCACAAGCTAACCATCTAGCTAACTGAGATAACAAGGTGTAGAGCTGGATGAACACAGCAGGCCAAGCAGCATCAGAGAAGCAGAAAGGCTGATGTTTCGGACCGAGACCCTTCTTCAGAAATGGGGGAGGGGAAGGGGGTTCTGAAATAAATAGGGAGAGAGGGGGAGGTGGACAGAAGATTGATAGAGGAGAAGATAGGTGGAGAGGAGACAGACAGGTCAAAGAGGCGGGGATGGAGCCAGTAAAGGTGATTGTAGGTGGGGAGGTAGGGAGGAGATAGGTCAGTCCAGGGAGGATGGACAGGTCAAGGGGGCGGGATGAGGTTAGTAGGTAGGAGATGGGGGTGGGGCTTGAGGTGGGAGGAAGGACAGGTCAGGGAGGCGGGGACGAGCTGGGCTGGTTTTGGGATGCAGTAGGGGGAGGGGAGATTTTGAAGCTTGTGAAATCCACATTCATACCATTGGGCTGCAGGGTTCCCAAGCGGAATATGAGTTGCTGTTCCTGCAAACTTCGGGTAGCATTGTTGTGGCACTGCAGGAGGCCCAGGATGGACATGTCGTCTGAGGAATGGGAGGGGGAGTTGAAATGGTTCGCGACTGGGAGGTGCAGTTGTTTAGTGCGAACCGAGCGTAGGTGTTCTGCAAAGCGGTCCCCAAGCCTCCGCTTGGTTTCCCCGATGTAGAGGAGGCCACAATGGGAACAGCGGATGCAGTATACCACATTAGCAGGTGTGGAGGTGAACATCTGCTTGATGTGGAAAGTCTTCTTGGGGCCTGGGATGGGGGTGAGGGGGGAGGTGTCGGGGCAGGTGTAGCACTTCCTGCGGTTGCAGGGAAAAGTGCCGGGTGTGGTGGGGCTGGAGGGGAGTGTGGGGCGGACAAGGGAGTCACGGAGAGAGTGGTCCCTCCGGAAAGCAGATAAGGGTGGGGAGGGAAAAATGCCTTTGGTGGTGGTGTCGGATTGCAGATGGCGGAAGTATCGGAGGATGATGCGTTGGATCCGGAGGTTGGTGGGGTGGAACGTGAGGACAAGGGGGATTCTGTTTTGGTTGTTATTGCGGGGAGGGGGTGTGAGGGATGAAATGCGGGAGACACGGTCGAGGGCGTTCGCGACCACTGAGAGGGGGATGTTGCGGTCCTTGAAAAACGAGGACATCTGAGATGTACAGGAGTGGAGTGCCTCATCCTGGGAGCAGATGCGGCGGAGGCGAAGGATTTGGGAATAGGGGATGGCATTTTTGCAGGAAGGTGGGTGGGAGGAGGTGTATTCTAGGTAGCTGTGAGAGTTGGTGGGCTTGAAATGGATATTGGTTTCTAGGTGGTTGCCAGAGATGGAGACAGAGAGGTCCAGGAAGGAAAGAGAGATATTAGAGATGGTCCAGGTGAACTTAAGGTTGGGGTGAAGTGGATGAACTGTTTGAGGTCCTTGTGGGAGCACGACGCGGCGCCGATACAGTCATCAATGTAACGGAGGAAGAGGTGGGGTTTTGGGCCAGTGTAGGTACGGAAGAGGGATTGTTCCACGTAACCTACAAAGAGGCAGGCATAGCTTGGGCCCATGCGGGTACCCATGGCCACCCCCTTTTTCTGTAGGAAGCGGGAGGAATTGAAAGAGAAGTTGTTGAGGGTGAGGACGAGGGTTGCAGGAACAGCAACTCATATTCCACTTGGGAACCCTGCCGCCCAATGGTATCAATGTGGACTTCACAAGCTTCAAAATCTCCCCTCCCCCTACCGCATCCCAAAACCAGCCCAGCTCGTCCCCGCCTTCCTAACCTGTCCTTCCTCCCACCTATCCCCTCCTCTCACCTCAAGCCCCACCCCCATCTCCTACCTACTAACCTCATCCCGCCCCCTTGACCTGTCCGTCCTCCCTGGACTGACCTATCTCCTCCCTACCTCCCCACCTACACTCACCTTTACTGGCTCCATCCCCGCCTCTTTGACCTCTCCACCTATCTTCTCCTCTATCCATCTTCTATCCACCTCCCCCTCTCTCCCTATTTATTTCAGAACCCGTTTCCCTCCCCCATTTCTGAAGGAGGGTCTAGGCCTGAAACGTCAGCCTTCCTGCTCCTCTGATGCTGCTTGGCCTGCTGTGTTCATCCAGCTCCATGCCTTGTTATCTCAGATTCTCCAGCATCTGCAGTTCCTACTATCTCATCTAGCTAACTGTCTTGTTAATCATTGCACAGGTTATATTTTAAAATTTCAGTTTATCGTTTATAGAATATGATAATCTGCAATTTGTTGCTTGGTAGTATGGTACTTGAATGCAGCTGACAAGGGAAACACGTTGCCAAAGCTTTTCATCTTTTGCTTACCATGACTAATAAAAGAATGCTAGATTTCAAAGAATCACCAGAATTTATACAAAAATGACTGGTTGGCAAGTTGATTCTTCTTTGTCTGAGGCATTGTCATGAAGAAAACAACTGGGAACTCCTTGCTCTCCATGCTTTCGGGCACTTTGAGAAACATGCAAGGCTTAAGTATGTGTTTTTTTTTGTTGGCAGAAAGCGAGTTTCTACATATGAATGTATGTCACACCTGCCAAACATGAATGAAGCTTATTACAAGTTTGCTGATCATCTTAAATTTGGTAGTACAGATCTTGAGTATTGCTGAAAAATGCCATATTGTATCAAAGGTAAAGTTTACATCTTGCACTCGTCAGGCCCGTTTGCAAGAATACCAATTTGAGGGGAAAACTAACTTTTACACTGCATAAGAAGAGAGTGCTGATTTGTTTGTTTTCATTCTTTAATGGGATGAGGCATTGCTGGCTAGGTTATCATTTATTGCCCACCCCTAATTGCCCAGAGGGCATTTTAAGAGTCAGCCACATTGCTATGGGTTTGGAGTCGCGTGTAGGCCAGACCAGGTTCAGATGGCAGATTTTCCTCCCTGACAAATTGGCAATGAATTCACGGTCATCATTAAACTCTTTCAGAACATTACCTGGGTCTCTGGGTTAAGTCTAGTGATAGTACCACAAGGCCGTCGCCTCCACGTAGTTGCTAAGTGAATTCTGGTAGATGCTTTGCCATGAAGAATGCACTCATTGACAATGATTGACATTTAACTACCTGACTAAAACCAGGCAAGTTGACTGAATGGTCAGGTCTTTGCCCTGAAATATATGCCAACAAATGGCTGATACCTGTTTTATTGAGTTGAAACATACACAGTGCATGAACATGTTTGTTCTGTCTACAAGAAAAGGGCCTTGTGTATTAATATGTAGCTTCCACTATATGCAAGTGCACCATATGAAAGTCCGACTGATAATCTGAAAATGTTGTCAAAGTTATCAGTGTAATACATCACAGGTTCGGGATTATCTAAATGGCGGGTTGCATCTAGTATTGGACACTTGAATGCAAGTTTTGCAAGTCAGTACTTGTTGTGACCAGCTGAAAGGATGTGTTGTTAAATACTGTCTGCCAGTCTTTGGGACATACAGCAACATAGCTGCATTCACCATGACATTGACATTTACATACCACATGACTCCAATGTGTAATGGGCAGAATCTCACTTTGGCCTGACAGCAGTATCCTGTTAGTGTGAATGAAGTTTGTGTTGCTACTGCTTATTTGCAGTGTGTAATAGCTAGCTTTATCTGTTAGTCTAATGTTGGCAAAATGTTGCCCTTCCTGGGTAATTGGATGTCGACTGGGCATTTTTCAAGTCTAGGAATGATTGTCTTAGGGCCTTTAATGATTTGCATATGTAGCAAGAAATGATCTGATCAAGATAGCCATTTATCCTGCAGAATACTTTTGATGCACCCTATTTCAGCATCAGGTTTGAATGGTGATACATATGGTTTGGGCCCTATTTATGAGATTGTAAGACCGGTCTTATTAACAGTACTTGGAAATATAGGAATCTCAATATGTATACTGACCAGTGAAGATAGGTTTGCACTAGACTGTATTAGAGAATCTCCTGGTCAATTTCTCAATAGTTTCTCAACAAAACATAGTTTATTCAAATTAGACATTGAAAAATGAGAATTCAGTTGTTATTAATTGGTACGTTCTCCATGGCAACACCCCTCCCAATCAGAATCCAATCAGCGCTCTCCTCTCATGCAGCATCATGTTGGTTTTCCCCTTGCGAATTGTCCTGATGATTGTAAGATGAAAAACTGCATCAAAAGGTGCCTTTTGACAGCAAAACTCAACATCTTAAATTTGGTGTTAGTGTAGCTGTAAGCACACTGAGGATTGCTCAGCAAATACTGCCCAATCACAGAATCACATCTAACAGCGGATATTTTGTTTTGGGCTTTGCAAGCACGGGCTGATTTAGGACTGTCTGTACTATGCCATTTGTAAACAACTGGAGGCATGTGCTGTTTGATTCAATTAGCCCATCAGCGGGTGTGGCCTGACTCCTGGCATTGGGTTGGCATTTACTCAGGGACCTATTCTTCATGAACAAAATTAATACCAGTGTGCCTTTTTGACTTTCGCTTTCTCCGTAGCCACACTATGGCCAATCAATTCCCGATCACTTTCCTCCTGTAGTAAAAGTTGTGATTGTTTGAAATTTTTCTTTTTATCCTAATGGGTGCAAGACAAAAAGTTCAGTAACATACCTCTTCAGCAATAATCTGCAATTTTCTAATGCTATAAATTTATTAAAGTCAACGTAATAATTTAAGTACAAATTTACAGATTGTCTAGACACTGCATCCCATAGCTTCAAAATGACTAAATTTATATTACAGCTGAATTTCCAAGAAATAGCCTTGAAGTTTTAACACCAGAAATTCCTGCAGAAAGAGATCGAGGGAATTGTATCACATCATTACAACTCCATCCCAAAGGCTGGGCTACATTAATTAGATGCACTAGCATCACTGATGACCAAGAGGTGAGCGGTTTCGATAATATTTCAAATCTGAGATGATTTGTTTCAGTGTAGAGGGCATAGACATGGAACGATATAGCACAGGAACAGGCCCTTTAGTCATGGCTTCTTTTAGCCCTAATTCCTTGTTTAAGTTCTTTCTTGCCTCCTTTATATTCCTCAAGGGCCTTATCAGATTTCAGTTTCCTTTTCTTTTTGACTAATCTTTCAACACGACCCCCCACCCCGTCCCCATTTAGTAGCTGACTCTCAAACAAACACTTCATAGTCTGGCCGTTTTTTAACCTGTAACTCAACTTGTGTGTGCAACCATAACCAAGCATGGATAAGTCCTGTTGCACTAGCAGGACAGACCCAATAGGGGTAGTATACAGTCTGGTGAGAGTTGTCCTTGGTGTCCTTAGCATGACTTCGGACCCCATGAAGTCTCATGGCTTCAGGTTAAACATGGGCAAGGAAACCCCTTGATTATCATGGACTGTCCTCCCTTGGCTGATGCATCAGTACAAATCTGTTTTGAACAGCACTTGGAAGATGCACTAAGGATGGCAAGAGGCATTTTGGGTGGGAATTTCAATGTCGACCACCAAGATTGGTTCGGCAGCAAAACTGCTGGTCAAGCTGGTCGGTTCCTAAAGGAATCAGAGATAGTAGGAACTGCAGATGCTGGAGAATCCGAGACAACAAGGTGCAGGGCTGGATGAACACAGCAGGCCAAGCAGCATCATAGGAGCAGAGAGGCTGCGATAGGGTTAGGGTTAGGGTTAGCTGCTTGGCCTGCTGTGTTCATCC